AACAAAATGTGTATCAGGCAGGAGCGCAGCAAAGCTCGTCGGGCGCGTACTTCCAGGCGAATCAGCAACCGGGTGCTGCTGCTGCTCAGCAAGGCTATTGGCCTCACGCTCCGCATCAAAATGGACACTCGACGTTGCAACGGGATTTGCAGGGATACAGTCCTCATCAGGCTGGAGGTCTGTTTCCAAACGAGCATCACACAAATGTTGGTCAGACGCCGCATCCAGGACATCATGGGGCTGGATATGGACAGCAGTGGAATGGACATGCGCCGAGGTGATCATTACTGCCTCTTTGTTTCAGATCCATCATGTCGCTCGCCCTTAATTCTTTGGATGCTTCTGCGTGCACATCGCTTCTCCTGCGAAAAGTGGATGCTCGAGAGAATATGCGCTCATGCGTGCATTTGACCACTTGATCAGTCTTTGTGCGCGATCTACGTCTGGGTGCAGCTGAGCTGCCATTCAAAATTTCCACCAGTGTTGCATTCGGTAGACGATAGCCCTGCGGGAATCCTGTTCTGTGTTCAAAGGCAGCATCGATGGTAGCGCTTGGTGCGCCTACACAGCCATGATCGCTGGATATGTCTTCTCGGTGGACGACTCTTACGATGTGCATGTGATGGGCTCCTTTTTGCGACGCGAAGTCGAGCGAGGATGCAGGCAAGCTCAGTCATGAGTCTTGAGTGCGTGCGTGCGTGCACAGCAGCAGCTTGCTCCGCGTTGCGCGCTTGCGCGTGGGTGGGTACAGGCGGTCCCATGATGCGCGCCCGCACGTGAAGTTTGCTCGGGGTGCGTGAGAGAAGAGAAAGAGGTGCTGAGAAGAGCCGCGTCTCGTGCACGGCCACGTATCGACGAGCTCTCGTGGTGATGCACACCTCCATCACCGTCCAGTCACGATTCCTTCATCGACTGTTTGACAGAAGCAAGGCTTGAGCCTCAGCTTTGCTTCCCTCCTTATCATCTTTGCTCGGTATCGGCATAGTGCCGTGGCTTGATTCACCGGTCCTCACTGCACCTGGTCATACGCTCTGGAGCAAACACGGTGCGTGCGTCATCATGTCGCGCCGAACGAGCGGACCACAGAGCAACAGGCGCATCTCTGCTGGAGCCAGGAGCGCACCTTACGCAGTGAGTGGCGCGCTTGTATTCCCAGCCGAATGCACGCGCACTTGTCGTGCGAGCTTCACACTCATCACTTGTGTCCTATGCTCTCATCCTACTTGCAGCGCCCTGACGCGGAAAGGAGAAGTAGCTCGCAAAAGCAGAATCGCGGTGGTGCCAGAGACAGTGATGCGAACTGGGAACACGACCGGTACCAAGGGGATGAGGGTGCGTAATCAACTCAACCTGCCGTCGCCTCTTAGGCGATCGGCAATCACTGATGAGCTTTGCGGTGCCGCTTTGCATGCTTCATCGTTCACAGCTAGCAAAGGAACCTTTCCGCCTACACAGCTTTCGATCAGGGGCTACTCTGGCCCAACATGGGTTCTCGTCTCTAATCTGCTTTTGGGCACTTCAGCAGCCGATGTCGATTCGACCTTTCGTCAGTATGGCAAGGTGCTGACTGTTCAAAAAAGGGAACCACCAGGACCGAACCACCCGAGCGTCGCGTACTACGTCGCTTTTAACGACAATGCAGAGGCCAGAGAAGCGGTCAAGACTTTGGACAAAGCGTTAGCGGATGGCAGAATTTTGACAGTTGGACTTTGCGGACCTCCTATAAGCTCGGCAAGTCGCATGCTTGCCAATGCTGGTGTGGGAAGAGCTGCCGAGCCTGCGCCACGAATGCCTCAACATCAGCAGCAAGACAGAAGCCGATCGATAGAGGGTAGTGCCAAGAGCGGTACCTCGCGCAACCAGAGTGGAAGCAATGCAAGCGCAGCGAACCCGCCCACCGGACCTCGCAATCCCGGCAAGGCGCAAACGCAGAATCAAGGAGGAACGGGGGCAAAGGGTCAGACAACCGGGTCCTTGTCTCAAAGATTGATGAATGCTGGCGAGCTGAGAGCGTTGCAGAAAAAGCAAGCATTGGACAAGAGGGCAGCGTTGATTGCCAAAACTGGAGCAAGGACTGGCGTGGCAGGCAAAGGCAAGACTGCGATGATCCAAGCGACTCAAGGCCTAGGACCCCGCAAGGGTAAAGGAGGAGCCGCATCGACAGGTCTTGGTAGTAGGATTGCTCCCTTGTCCCTCGCGCAACGCTTGCAAGCAGAAGATCCCGCGTCGCAGAAAAAGGGCAAAGGCAAAGCCACTGTTGCGACCATCACAGGGTGAGTGTTACGCATGGCTCATTGCTTGCCTGGCCGCAGACGCGCGTTGGCCAATCTGACATTCTCTCTCACTCGCTGCACAAGTGGCGCTTCGCCTGCGCCAGGTCAAGGTGCGAGCACCAAAGCAAAGTCTCGACGCAAGAAGAAGGAGAATACGATGGATGTCGATTGAGATGGGGCAGCTGTGGCCGTGTTATGAGAGGGCAGGGCACGAAGCAGCCTGACCGACGTATACCTACCCTGCGCGTCCGCGCGGGACTTCATCAACGCTGCCACTACTGACGACGGCACCTTTGGAAGCTCCGCCACCTGTGTCACCACCTCCGCATCACTTGTATCTAAGTGACTCTGGCCTGCACAAGGAGTTTTTCTTTGTTCTTTGTTTGCCACGAAGCATCCCACTCTGGCAATCCTCTCATCGTTCGATTCTTCACTGTCTGAAGCTCAGTTCTAGACACGACGGGTGCGGTTCACTTGAAGCAGTGCAACGTTCTATGAAGTACAAATCGTGAATGTGGCATGGCTCATGCGAGTCGGGCCGGCGCGTATGAGTAGAGACGATCGAGGAAAGCGTGAGCACGCCGGCGCACGCCGCGCGACGCGGTCCATCTCAAACGCGCGCCAAGTCCACATCAATGTACGCGTCTTCGCGCTGCAAGCCACGTCCATGATCATCATCATCAGCAGTCAAACTTTCAACCATCGCAACTCGAACTTTGAACGTGGAGCATCTTTGGCGATCACTTGAGACTGCAGGCCCTTTACACGCGAGGGCATCTGCAAAGCAGTTGAGTTGCGTCTGTCTTGCCATTAGAGGTGCGACGATTCTATACACAAGTCAAGACTTTGTCAGCAAAGGAACTTGTTCGAGCCAGGCGCCTACGATACCGGACGTCGCTGCGAGGGCAGAGCATTCATACCTTTGCACACGGCTTCTGCAATCGCCAAGGGATCTGCCAGCTGCGATACAGTCGCGAGGAAGCGTTTGCCCTCACACAGGTACCACCATACGTTGTGATCCCTACATCCCGCATCGAAACAAAGGCTCGTAAGCGGCGTTGCACCGTACTGCGTCGTTGCGCGAGATGAGCTACTACAATTCCAACTCGTACGGCGGGGGAGCAGGAGGAGGAGGAGCAGCAGCAGCAGCAGCAGCGGCAGCAGGAGGGGATTGGTCGCGCGCTCACAACAGCTCATCCTACCCTTCCGGCTCATCCGCCAATCAAAGCCATCACGGTACCCACCATGCTCAACAAAGCAACACCAACAGCGAGAACAATTCATGGTCTCATCAGTATCAACAGCAGCCTTCCTCTCATCATGCGAATGCATCGCAAGCTTACTCCAACGCGGCTTGGCAAGATGGAAGATCTAAGAATGCGATGCACCAAGCATCGGATCACCATGCTCCTAGCTCTGCGGAAGTCAATCACTTGATTCGCAACTTGCAGCTTCCGGGATCCGCCGCATTTTCGAATAGCGCGGCAAGTGTGAGTGCAAGAGGTAGTAGATGGTT